AAGTGCTACAAAGTAACGCACGCCGGGCAAGTCCATTAACAATGGGCATAGATTTTTCCCAATTTTCAGGCATATTTTTTGATTCACGATGTTGACCATTGTTAATGATTTGGCCCGGCGCGCGCTACTTCGTAGCACTTGCCATCGAGAATAAAGCGGCGCGCGCTACTTCGAAGAAATTTAGACGAGTAACATCCGTCAATTCACGATGTCAATCGATCCTTCGCATATCGCCGATCTGCATAATGTGGTTTTGAGAAGCATTATTGGATGCGCGGCCCAGTAGTGCATCGCGCTACAAGTATATTTTAAACACCCAATTTGTGTATTATGCTTCCAAAAAAGCTTTGTGGGTGATGGTCGGCAAAAAGAAAGCTTGACCTTTTTTTACTTTTTTTCAAAACTATCGGATAAGAGTATGTGTACGGTTGGAGGACTTCGCCGCTTCGACGCGCCGCGCGAACTAGCATTCTTGCTTCGCATCGAAGGGAGGGAATAATTACTTTTTCTACAACCAAAATTTGGTTGTAAATCCAATATGGACGATTTTCTGCGCCGCGCGCCGATTTACTTGGCATATCACTGTTGCATCGTTTTAAATTAGATAAATTACATCCAATTTATTATAATTAGTATGTAAAATATATTTAAATGCTAGTATTAAATATTCATATAAATTTAAAGAAAAATTTTTGGGTTTGATTTGTTAAACTTTAGCTAAGAATGAGTTTAAACATGCGTATTTGTAACTTAATTTTACAACCGTGGTGGATATCGTCGACATTATTTCGCGTTGGATATTACAAAATTGTCTTGGTACCTATAGGGTAGCAACAAATTTAAATTCCTATTTATTTATGTTGTATGCAAGTTGATACATTTTTGTTGACTGGAGTAGTTTTCAAATAATTATTTCAATATAATAAAGTAGTGAAAATAGTGATTATATATTAATATATATATATATATTAAGACCATTTTAATGAAAATCGTTTTAAAAAGGAATTGAACAATTGCTATATGAGGCCTACTAGTGGAATTAATTTACTAGGTTGTGGGTCCTTGATCGGATAGGACAGAAATAGTTCCATTTTGATGTTGTTTTTCATGCTTGCTCGAGAGATCCATGCTTGCTTTCTTAGCTCGGTTTTTCGTTCTTATGCTGTTTTTATGCCAGATGTTTGTAATCGCAAAGAGAGATTTTACTTTTTCTAGCTGGATAACTGTCGGTCAGTCGAATGTAAAGTCTAGTAATATTTACAACTTTCTTTCTAGTTTATATATGTTTACTTTCAATTAAGATAAATTCACATTCTCAACTGTAGGGAAAACATTCTGTCGAAGGACTGTTTGCCACTTTTAACAGACTAATCACAATTCTAACGGCCCTGTTCTGTACATTTTTTTCGTTATTCTGTAGATTTTGACTCTGTACAGCAGCAGTTAGCAAAAAGGCCGTGAGAACCGATTTGATTCGAATACATGGTTTGATACAATAATCGATCAAAAATTTGCTATAACTTTATAGTAACCCGCAGTTTTTTCTTGTTATTATCCTGCTGAAATCTTCTCTAGATTTTATTGACTTTGTCCATGATCTTCTTCTCCGTCAGTATTTCCACTGGCTCCGCTTTGATAAGGTTCTAAACAGAAATTGTAAATCCTCAGCACAATCAATTGTGTAACTTTGACTTAAATAATTTCCGAAACTATGCTCCAAACTCTTTGATCGTTATGACCTGCTTTGTATTTTGTCTCCACCTTTGTAACCTTACATTATATTTAGAACATTTGGATGTCAATATTCAACAGATCACCTGATATTAATTCTTCTGCTTAATTTAAAATACTTACTAATGTTACTAATTTCTCGATTAACATTTCATCTCGCGTACAATCCTATCAAGTCAATTCGCTGTCTGAGCAAAAAATGAGCGAGGAACGCAAGCTCTGTTAAAAAAATAAATAATAATGAACACGTTGTGTTGTTTTGGATGGCTAATTATATTTATAAGCATAACAGGACATAACACCTCCTAACTCGACTTGGACCTGAGTGTGTATTATTTTCGTTTAAAACTATCGAATTAAACTTAATCTTAGATAGCACTAGTACGGCAAAGATTAGAATATGGTATGGTTTGAAGTACATGATTATCCTTATAAAATCAATGACTAAAAGTTCCCACATAAATGCATGATAATGATACTAAGGTTAAAACGAATTAAATTGTCCATAATTCACACACAATGAAGAATGAAGATGTTTAACATATATATTATGCAATACTTATCCATAACAACCGCATCATTGATATGTTTCAGTAACTCCCTATAACAGGCCACTATATCTTACTATGTAGTTTGCATATCTGAAATGCAACCTTGAAGCGCTGCTGTGCTGCACTTCAAATAGTCATGGCAACGATTGGTTTGGTTGAATATTGAAAAACTTTACTGGATTGGAGGAGAAAATTCCGTGTTAAGCGTTAGTCTGTGTGACTCAAGTAGCAGTTTGTAGTGGAGTGTGTCCACAATGTGTCCACATCAGCTCATTCCAAACCAAAATCATCTAGAACCCCAATTTGCATCGCAATTCCCAGTCCTGCAGGGCGAAATTTCTTAATAATTTCCCTCAGGTGCCAATTTTGAATTTGGTATCTTTTTATCTCGGCTTCTGAATGTCTTAAAGAATTGTATTTTAATTTAAAATAACTGCAATAGTCTCGATTTTATACAAGTCATGAAGCAATATATTAAGGTCTCAAGTGCTAAGGTTTTAAGATATTCACGAATAACAGGTTTTAGGCTCATCGCAGCCCAAAATACGGGACATCTCGAGCTAGGAAGGTCGTAGAAACTTCTCCGATGTTGGAAAATTTCCGCAAAGACCATATTTAAATAAGACTTAAAATCATGATATGCCTTAATGCTTATTTGTAGAGATATTGCGATTGGCAGAAATCGGTTATTTTAGCTACACGCAGTATTTTTTATCATAGTTTATACTGTTAGTGAGACATCTCAAACCAGTGTTGAACGTGGAGTAAAACTTCTGATTCACCTTGTCTCGTCACAGAACCTTGTGCCTCATATTTTAAGCTCAGGTTATGTGCCCCAGGACCTCACACCTGCTTATCGACCATGAGCCGCAAATTGCAATAACATTATATAGCATCATTCGTACTCTACTTCGGCTAAAATTTGCTCTTTCATAGCATTATCAATCAGGTAATTGACTTCTAAATCATCTGCCTGCCCATCCTTCTCTTTTAAGATTAATTATTACCTCAAGTTCAATAATTTCGCTTCTGTTCACTGTAAGTGTATGTGCATTGTGCAATGAGGGACTACCACTTTCTAGTAGTACTATTAGCTAGTAGCTACTTCAGCAAGCGAGAATGTAAGTTTTCAAAGCACCTGAAATCTGAATGCCTTGCGCCACACTTTCAGCCATCTAGTCCCAAATTAAAGTATCGGCCCTTAGAGCACTGTATAATCGCTCTTTTACCTAGATTATTTTGGTTTGAAATGACCTAATGAAATTTTGAACATGATCCCATGAATTGCAAACTCGACTACACTCTGTGACTCTATAAAATCGCAGAGTGTATATTTTGATACACTGACTGTTATATCTCTGCGTTAATTGCTTGACGGGGTTTTTAGTATACTAATACATTATTGTTCAATACACCGCAGTGACCGCGTGTGTTAGACTGGAATGTTTATTAGACTTCCTATCACCTAGACATACTTTTTGAGAAGTCACGTGGGCGGGGCGCCGATATCACGTGACATAACTATGAGGGGACTGCACAAAATCGCGCTCCTTATATGGTTTAAATACCCGTTACACACTACACTGGTTGACATCCTTAATTTATACGCTACACGTACTGTATCGTATTGATAATTCACATATTAACTTACCTTGTTTACTTTAGTGTGCTTGATAGAATCTTCCATCATCCGTCATCGGAGTCACTGACCACCCGGACACCGAGATTGCTGCCTTAATTCCGCTCAATCCAGTAACAAGTTTCCATTTCTACAGCTGTGCCACTGGGGGCTCGTCCGGGAATTATTTCTCGATTGTTGTAAGCATTTCTTTAAAGTGCAGGGGATTTTCGATAGTATGCATGTTTGGTACGGTGGGGCTGCAAACGAATTGTCGTAGCGCGTTTGGTTGCGCTGACTGCTAAATATTATACATTTCTTCAGAGTGTAGTAGGAATGCCTTTTGTAGTGTAGTAGGAATAAATGCCTTGGGAATAAATGCCTTTTGGCCATTTCGGAGTGTCTCGGAGAACTGGATGTTGACATCATTTGGGCACTTGCCGTGCAGCACTTTCCACATGTGGATGATGGTATATCTTTCTCCCCTCCGTTGCAATAATATCAAATTTAAGGCCTTCTCTGCCATTAGTTTAGATGCTGCAGGCCATATTCTATTCTCGTTGTGAACGTGCGCTGAATAGTGAATACCTTCCAGTTGTTGGACGTAGGCACTCGTGATGAGAGATTAGTAAAGGGTCAGCATAGTGACTCAGTTCCTCGTTTTAAACGAACTCGGAACCCAGGCAGAAACTTTACGAGCACGTTCGGCTATAATAATGGTAAGGGTGGTAACGTGGGGACTCTAAGATATGTCAGCTGAAACCATCTGCATCACCCGTACCCCTCGGGAGGGTTAAGGGTATAACGTGTTGTCATCTGAGACTTGGGTTAGGATGGCAAATGGGTGGTCTAGCAAGGTGATTTGAGGACAATGTTTATGGACAAGTAGCTCCAATTTATCCTCACGAAGTGCCATGTTGTTTCATTTTGCCCACTCAACGACACAGTTGAGATCATGCTGTAATATCTCAGCATCTGCTAGACTATAGATGTGCTGTAGAATTTATTTTCTCTAATTAATTTCTAAAATTGTGATTTAGTGTTCGTCTCCTTAAATAAATATATGTTTATGTCTTATCAATAAAACATCTTTTCTATATAGGATGGTTACAAAAACTGCATTCTACACAGAGGAAAACAAGTTGACTTGCCTATGCTTCGGCTATATGTCCAATGACCTAGATGTACAGTTCAGAGAGAATGCTAGACTGGGAGTTAAAGTCATACTCCCTTCTCTCACAAAAAAGTATCAGCTGCTGCTGCACGCTACGATCACTCATTTGCTGTGAGAGCTGGAAGAATCTGGAATGTTCTCCCCAAAATTGTCAATACTCAAAGGACTTTGACAAGCTTCAAGACATCTCTTGGAAACTTCCTAGACACCGTTCCAGACAAGCCCCCTACTCCTGGATACAGTGCAGAAAACTCTAACTCGATAATAGACTGGTACAGTCAAGGAGGTGGTCCGCAAATTGCGTGAAGATGCCCTGCACTTCTAAACCTCTCAATAGGCTTAACCAATAGGTAGGTTCACATGATAATAATTACTTTTCAAGTTCAGACGATCGTACAATCACGGTAGAATAGTACAGAGAATACGTTGTATACTTGTTAGTTTTTATGTTTTTATCATGTTCTATAAGTCCGTTTCTTTAATCTACGATCTGCTCTGTAAAAATTGCTTACAGCAATAATATATATTGTAGATAGCTGCTAATATTTAAGCTAATATATTTGCTGAAATTATCATAAACAATTTTCCAGGGACAAACGAAAATCAACAGTTCGTGTCATGGCAGAGAATATTTCCTGATTAATTTTGCTGTGAGTTACTAATTTATAATGCGTTACCTGCCGTCTTATTACTAGGATCTGATGATCACAATTGAAAACGTCTGATATGGGAATTGATATGATAAGAATTTTGAAAATTTAAATTAAATGCATTTCAGTGATAATTTATATTAAACAAAAATTGCGGTGGTTCTTGTAATTTTAATCTTTAATCCAATAGGTTAATAACTTCTTTTTCAGTTCACAGTTGGAATATGAGCAGACTACATGCCTGATAATCCTGATTCCTACATCCGTAACTTCAAGGAGGTTTCAAATGGGATCGGAGCAACGTGTACACTGTACGTCTGTGTGGCAATGAAAATGTGGCAATTGTATAATTAAAAATTACTATTCGTAAAAATAAAAAGTTTTTTATAGACAACAAGATTTTGTTCAAAATTTAAAACAAACTTTTGGGGATTCAATAGAATAGAAATTAAACGGTTTTGTCAATTTTTAGACGTTTTATTTATTTCACACAGTGTATGATAATTTTAACAATTTTTAAATCTGCACTTTCTGGCTGTATTATTTCATGGATTTGATCGTAATATAATTATATTTTGTATAATATAACTGTAAATAAAGCAGGTATTTGGAAGAGATGATAATATGCTTTTAAGTGTTTATTATATTTTACTGCATTAAGATTGTTCCATATACAACTGCTTTTTACCGAGTGGAGTTATACCCAGATTTTGATTTTGATTGCTTAAATTCTTTCAACTTTTTTACGTTCTAGTTAATAGGTTATTATTATTGTGAATTTTGCTTGAAAGTTTGTAATTCTAAAATGTTGTATAAGCACTTAATTTATTAACGAAGAATTCAAATCTAACATAGCGTGTTTCCCTTCGTGTCTAAATGCAATATGTGCAATGATTCAATTCGACAGGACTGCACTCCATCTAATACCCTTTTGATCCGCAAGGTGAACTTAAAATAACAGCTTTCCTTAAATGGACGACTACGTGACCTTCATTAAAATGTTGTCTAGATGGAAGGAGGATCGAGAAATTTTCAATTTTAACGCTCCCAGCTGGCCATGCGCGGCTCTTTTACACGTGCTAGATGACCATTTTTTTTGTAAAGAAAGTACAAATCGTCATCAATTTGAAAAGACGCGCATCACAATGCGCGTGATGAGAGTATTTATCTCAATCCGTCGACGATCGTTGCTCTGCTTCGCAGAGCAACGATCTCGACGGATTGACATCGTCAATCAAGTGTACGGTTGTTATATTTATTAATGAATTTGAGTTATCGTGCTGTCACAGTTGCAGTGCACAGTGAATCCCTTATTAATCTATAATGGCTGGGTAAATTTTTTTTTTCATTAGTTTAATTTCTACTAGTTTTTGTGGTATTCATTTTTATTTCATAATCATAAAATATCATCACATAGGAGACAAATGGGTGAGTAAGAACTCCGTGGACATATAGAGAGTCTAGATTTGAACTTGGAGCCACAAGGCCAAGTGTGAATTTCAAATGTTTCTGCCAATATGTTGGTATGGGAATATATTACATTTTTGAAGGTTTCATTTTATATAGGGTTATTGTGATATTAAGTGTATATTGTTTAAATACTTTTTATTATCTAGCTTGCTAGTCGATTGATTGCTTCACTCATAAATAATACTGATAAATATCCACTATTTGGACTAAAAACAATTTAGGACAACAATTAACAGTACTATTCACTAACCTATGATTGGGATAGGGTTTTCACCTTTTAAATTTAGTGCATGGTGTTTCGAATCTGAAATCAAATTGACTTCACGCATCTTACATCTTCACTTTGGGCAAGATGTTAGGCAACAATTTATTAAAAAACGTCATGAATTCCGAAGGTAACTGTCATGAAGATGTAATTAGGTTGGCCCAAGTTAATAGGTGAGACCGAGCTAATGGCCGTGCGCAGGTAAGTACTAAGTAGACTGGTAACGACTATTAGCTCAGACCAACCTAGTTACATCTTCATGACAGTAATACCTTGTGACGTTCTTTTATTTTGAGTTATTAACACTGATCACTTGGTTGCCTTTTATTGAGACACCCTATATAGTATATATTATGTAAAGTGTATACAGTATACACTAGTTGCAAAAGATTCCTCAAATTTAAAATGACTAATTATCTATATATTTATTTGAGGATAGATCTTGATTCTACCTTACAAGGCCATAATAGTTCTTTTAGTCTTGTACAAATTACAATTTATCTCTGTGATACTTAATTCCAAACATTTAGCCAACCTGAAGATGAAATTTCTACTCCTATTGGCCATTCTCCCTCTGTCATACCAAGACATTACAGAGAAGCAACAGGAATTTTGCACTCGCAATGACAATGGTGACATCTGGAAATACGATTTAACTTCTCTTGGTTTGGTTGATAAGCCGTAAGTTAACATGTTCTATCAGCTGTTGCTATTAGAATATCATTGAGCAAATAAGCTTACCAGGAAAAACTGTCGAATAGGCTGGTTTCCTCCCCATGTAAAGAATTGATTGACTAGACTTTGTTAACTCCAACTGGGTATCTCAAGTTTTCTAAAATGAGGCGTGTATTTCAGGTTCATGGTATCAGACACCAAGTGGACCTATCACATAGCACTCTGTGGGGAGACAAATATTGAGATAAGTCAAGATATGAAAGGAGATGCCATCCTTCAAACTAACAAGGACGAGACTCACATTGTCGGCACCAAGATTTCTGCCCGACATGGCGGAGGTGAATTTGTTTTACAGATTTTTATTTATTCAGTTTCTCTTTCTTACTCTCTAAAATCATTCCTTTAAATATAGATATTAATATATGCATAGTTTTTTTCGGTTAATTTCTCGTATATCTAAGATATGATCTAGCAACTAGTGATTACTTTATCCTAGTTATAACTTGTTTTATAATAAAACATCTACCAATTAGTACTTGATAAGAAGTTTGACTCTTCAAAGTTGTATAATGCATATTTACATAGCATCTCGTGTTGTTAAATTACGTAATCACTTGTTGGCCAATTTTTAATCTCCCCATCTGTAATCAGTTTTACACATAGCTATCGTGTAAAAATTACATTAGCGTAATTATTAAGAAACCCCTCAGTGATTACGTAACATGTGAACGACCCCTTATCAAAATACGTGTGGTTAATATCTTTCAAAGAAGTTTTGAGTTAATTGGCTTATTTGGATTATAATTTTAACACACATAGAGAATGTTTTAAGCTACAAATTTTCTCACTTTACACTTTCAATTGTTGAAGATTTTATTTTTATCGAGGTTTGATTTATTATATTTTGTTTTTCATTTCAGAGAACTGAGTGAACTTTATCCTTAAATTGAATTATATTAAGATTTTATTTTTATTAAGATTTTATTTTTTTATCAAGGTTTGATTTTATTAAATTTTGATTTTATTAAATTTTGTTTTTATTTCAGAGAACTGGGTGAACTTAATCCTGGGAGCAGGGGACAACTACAATCATCATTGTAACGGCACACAGCGTAAAGCTCAGATCATGTTCATTTGCGACCCCTCTGCTGGACAGGTATGTGGATAGTTTACTTATTTTAATACTTATTAGTTTTACTTATTAGATTACGTTTTTAATTTATTAGTTTTATTTCGGTGGGGGAATGACTCAATGACTACACAGGTATGTTGGGATCTTTTTAAAAAACTCAATAAATTTATTAATTTGTGAAAACTGTTTACTTATTAGAGTATTTATTTAATTTCCATTGTTACTTCAATAAGTTAAGTGTATGTGCCACGGTTTCCTTTACTCATTTAACTGAATTACACAGGTCACATCGAATATTTTTTCATGAAAGTGTAAGGTTTTTCGCTAGACTTCGATTATAATTAGAATATAATCTTACTGTTCTCTCCAACACTAATTTCCTTTGTAATTTTTACTTCTTGTAACATTACTGCTTGATTAACTAGTAACTGCACTGTCAAATTAATTAATCAGCTTTTTGTACCTCCAATTAAATATCAATTATAAATTAAGTAGATCAATTATAAACGCCGGAAGTTTGAAAGATGAGCTTGCTCTATTTGTAATATAATAACCACAAGTAGAGACAATTTTATGGTAGAACCGGCGAAATTGTTTTACTCTGACAGTCGAGATTATGAAAGTTGGAGCTAACTTTGAGATGTCTGTATTCCCTAAGGAATTACCGTACAACTGGCTAATTTCGTTGTCTTGAATTTCTGTCTAACATGGAATGTGCGAGGTATTGTCACGTGAAGATATAATATATAGTTCAACCTCCTAAATTGACCTGGTTTTCTCATCGTTATAACATTTTGATTATAACCAAACTAAACATTACTCTTATGTAAGCTTACCGCTGATGCAATTTTTATGAATCAATGCAAGGAGCATTATATAGAGAATATGAGGTGAGGTTTTGGTTATCAGTCGAATTCACGTGACCACGTGCGTGAGTTGTGTGTGTCTGTCTTATCTACGTCACAAGGCTTGCCTTGGTACTATCAGTTACGTTGTTTTTATCTCTCCTAAAGGAATGCAATTTTATCAGTATTTCTGCACAAAAGAATTACCTGATTGAATTATTTTGAATATCTTAACGTCCGAACCACGCAAGTGTGCAAAACTTTAAAATAACTAGGGTTTTGCAGCGACAAAATTGATTTAACTGCCACATCTTTTGTCTTGGGTATTCAATTTTTTGAGTCTTGAATTTAAAGGATTGAATTGAAGTATCAAGACTTCATAAGTAAAAATTTCGTTTGTGCAAACTGCTCCTACAGTGGGTTACCATATTTTGTTCGTCAATTCTGATAAGTCAGGAATAACGAAAACATATGGCAACCCACTGTACAAGATTTGTATGAAATATGAGATATCCTAATTTCTAGTCCTTGGTTTCCAAATGCTGATGTTAATTCATAACCGAAAGTCGGAACTCGGGAGTCGATTTGATGCTCTCCTACTGTGGTAACACTGTAGTGCAGATAAAGGAAACAGCACCATATTATAATACTTATACATATATATATATTATATCAGGTACCTTCATGAGTTCATGGGAAGGGCCCAATTTAAAGCGAATTTTAATTTAATTATGATGACAAGAACTGAAAAGATAACGAGCGAGGAGCCTTTTAGCTTTCATATTGTGGTGTGCTGCTTCATCTTTACTTCCAAGTTCCCTTACATCTTAATATTTAATACAAAACTGAACATTTTACATCCTACACTAAACTGAATCTCTTCCTGCTTCTCTTTCTTCGTTATGCTAAAGTTATTATCTGAAATTAAGCCCCTGAAAGCTCATATTGACAGAATATAATCAATAAACCAGTTAAAAATACAAATAATAAATAAATAAAAAGTAAATAAATTCTACTTTTTACAACACACCACACACTTACAAAACTACACAAATTTCAAGATGCACCACCCATTATATCTACTCAAAACTTTTTCCTACTCCTTTTCCTCACTCAGGGAAAACCCTCCATTTTGGATGAAGCTAACTCTGATGTAGATTTCTGTTTCTATATGTTCGAGTGGCCCACGAGTTTGGTTTGTCCTAAGAACGCTAAGGGAAGTGGCAGAGGAATGAGCGTCTTCAATCTCTTGCTTGTTGAGTGAGTTTAATCGATTTACGTAATTAATTAATTGTTTTAATTAAAACTTGATGTTCAAATATGCGTCTGACCGTTATCACAATTTGTTTTGTTTTAAACAACAATAGAGTCGCATATGTTGATATGTTAATTTCTGATTTAACAAGTTTTTTTTTCTAGAGTCGACTCCACTACTGTACAAGTTATCGTGATTATTGAGATTGAGATTGATTACTCGACCCATGTTTAACCATTAAAACCCCAGATTTGTGGTAATAGTGATAGTGTACTTTGTTATCGGAGTGGGATACAAGAGGTATGTGGTGGGAGCACGAGGGTACGAACAGCTTCCTAACCTCGCATTCTGGAAAAATGTATGTATTATTACATTCTTCAACTATTTTTACAACTACAAACAAATACATTTATTGAGGACATTACAGAAGGATTTGGGGTGACGCCCACCAGACCCCCGCCTATGCTGCAGTTAAAGCCGTGGCCGAAACGCCATTAAACAAAGTTATCGGCTCGCCGACTGCGGTCGCCAAAATTATTAATTATTATTACAGAAAGAATTGATTTAATGTAGTAAAAGGAGTCTTAACTCTCCTCTTTTCCTAAGATTGCGTTATCTTGTCCCATAATACATGTCACATGTGCAAGGTTCAATATAAAATACACATTGTACATTTGCATTGTACAATGTACAGTGTACACCGTATATGTACAATGTACATTAATGATCTCGGACGCGGATATGTTGACAACTAAGTTTCAGAATCCTTATTGAGTAGCATGATTACGTCATCAACATTCAACATTATTTGAACCTTTGAACCAATATATCACTCAGTGTAAAGAAGGAATGGTAGCTACAGTTGAAAAATGTAAAGGCGGATCCAGCTCAGGAATTGTAAGTGTTATTTACATTCCACCTCATGTAAAGTGATATGTTTTAACTACTGGAACCTATAACAATGTATATATACAATGATATGTAAACAATGGTATCTATTAATTTATTGCAACGTCCACAGTCTAATACTAAAATATTTACCGATAAATCCTATACGTAATTAGACTTTATTTGTTTATTTATATAATTGACTCTCCGCAGGGTGGAGTAAGAAGTGATATCATAACAACACCAAGTACCGGCACACTCAACATGAACATTAATGACGATGATGAGCGACTCATAATGTAAAAACCATTTAGTGAACCCTCAAAGTGGCTGAAAGAGAATTATAATCCCGTGGCGAAGAAGCATGGTTGCAAAAGTGGCTGTTTTCAATCCAAGCGGTTTATAAGAACTGTTTATAATGCTCCCTACTGAGTTAACAGGGATGATGAAGATGGAGGTTCAGTAGATTTTGTTGGTGCCGTGTAAAGTCAGGTGAGCATGCTCGCTGGCTGTGCTCAGTATAGAAATATAAGAGATGCCCCATGGTATTAAGATATTCATGTTACGATCAAGTCTGGATTTAAGTTTTACCAAACTTTTAATATCGTAGCTTTGTAGGATTGTTAATTTAAAACAATATGTTGAAATATTTGCTGTTTAAATAATGTTTCTGAAAGCTTCTGCACGGAATATGACTGACTTATTGGCTCATTATAAAATTTTAGTGCATTTTCTTTGGATTAGTAATAAATATATTATATATATATTCTGTGTGTATATGTATATTTCAGAAAAAGATGTTAGTCGAAGAATTATCGTTTTTCATCATAGATAACAGGGTTAAAATATTTGGGATTGAGCGTTTTTGTTTTTTCAAAGTTGTTCATCGATGCCGATTTTTAAGTTTTTATTTTAATTTCTTTGTATCGATCGCGATAATAGATATTTACCGCGTACTTTCAAATGGGAGCTATTTCTTCTTGGGGAGATGTCGATTTATATAACGTTTTTGTGAAATATGATGAATGATGAATGGCTCTCCAGTGCAATAATTTTTGCGCAGCAAAATTTTTGGAACTTATTTATTTATTTGTACAACGTTATTCTTGAGACCTCACATTGGTTATAAACGAGTTTTAATGACTGTAAACATTAAATGTGACCCACTCGAAAGGGTCTACTTCTAGTTAGTTACGTAACGCGCTAACAATACTTTTATGATAGTTGTAGCGCTGGCACGTACGTTCGTTTCGCGCGCGCGCGCGCATGTCAGATTGATACAACTTTAAACTATAAACTATTGTCACATGATGGATGATGTGTCCGACCTCCTGAGCCACAACACACTACCCAGTGATATGTCATATGAGGACTGCTCACTGCGAACAGTAACGCTAGACCCTTGAAAATATCGTTTCTGAGTTGGAACGGAGTTTCGGTCACTCAACTTCATTCCGACTTTCGAGTCAAATTTTCGTAAGTGCTTGAAACAGTCGCACTTGCTCCGGAGTCCTGTCGGAACATTTTAGGGTTTTATGAATTTAGTTTCACTGGTATTTTGTAGAGCTAACCCTCCTGGGAACTCACAGTATTTTGAATTTGCTGGAATATTAAAATGGCGATGTGCACTGTGCAGGTCAGTGCTGACTGTAAAGGTCGCTTTCTTTCATTATCAACTTAACCTGCTAATGAAAAGTGGTTTTTCAAACGTGGAATGGAGAAATAATTGACAACAGTTTTGAGAAAATCTTGAAATCAAATAAAGAACATCACAAAAACGGATAGTATAACTCAATCAAATAACTCGTCATTTCTAGTTTAATGTACAAACAAAAATTGTCTATTAATCCACAATAAAATCTGTCGAAAAATAGGCACAATTCACAACACAAATAAAAAGCTCAAATATTGTAAGCAACAGTATCAGCGGATATACTCGGCCAGTGGTCACTGTGAAACCTTAACGGGAACATAAATTTATTGAAACAAGTTGAGCTCATCAGTTGATCACCACCATATTGGTATATAACGACAAAAATACACAATTTATATTAAAAACAGTCTCAAAATGACCGACTCCCTTGTACTATCATAACTTCTCGCTAGGAGGCTGTGGTTCGGTTTGTGGACCTGCCTGTGGTTCAGGCGGTAATGTTATCGGTTCTTCGACAATTCCGCCAGGGAGCTTTTCCCGTTCTTCATCTGAAGAGTTTTTTTTTAATTTTTTAATTAGCTGCAAAAACAAGGTGTACTCGAAGTTGTCAGCTAATATGCAGTAACAATTACACGAAATATATTACTATCAAAACGTATAATTTGTGATGGTTGATTGATTGACAATGATGCCCTGGCCCTGCCCATGTGCTCGTAAGGATTGATAATATGTAGTGCGAAATGTGCGTGTTACCAGGAGGTGTTTTATTGCTAAGAGTTGTCAGATTGGACGCTGTCAAAGTAATGTAACACTGAAGAGAGAGTCGAACTGGAGGATGAGCTCTCTGATACTTGGGAAGCATCTGTGACATTATCATTCAAAACTGTTGGCTCATTCATTCGCTTGTAATGAGTGAAGAGTGAGGTGGTGGAGGAGGAGGAGGAGGATGAGGATGAGGAGGATGAGGAGGGAGAGGAGTCACTCGGACAGGAGTCATCTTGGAGACCTTGTTGGAGAACGGAGTCTTCCACACGTTTGGAGGAAATTCTGTACTTCCCCATTATGTCTTTCCATGTGGAAAGTATATCTTCGACTGCATCTATCTTAGATCCACTCGTCATGGAAAGGAATGACGATGAGTTTATGTTTGACAATTCCTTCTCATTATCCTCTCTTGATCCATTTGGAGTGTTACTGTTGGATGGAATTGAAGAATTGGACGGAGTATTTGAGGTTGTATCTGATCCAAGTCCTCTTTGGCGATATTTGTATCGGGGTAAACTGCTTCTTGGAGACTGAACATGACGCAGGTTATATTGTTGTGGAGGTAATGGCAATTGTTGTGGTGATTCAATAGGTTTTTTTGGCAATTCGGGAGTAGAAACAGGGGAGTTCACGGAAACTCCCTCCACTGAAATACGGTTAGTAGATGTATTATATGTGGAGATTGTTGATCCAGAACTTTCTCCATTTTTCTGATTATGATATAAATTTACATTGTTTCTCTCTGAATAAGACGGCTTTGAAAAACATTGTGGCGGTGGAATCGGTAATAATGGTATGTTTTGTTCGGAAGATGCTGTGCGTGTCAACGACAATGTGGAAGTTTTTTGTGGTAATATTTGCTCTGTTGACGATGTTCTGAACGAAGTGTTAATAATTGGCGACAACATCTCTAGTAATGAGGGTGTTATTGATATTTCCTCAAAATCTGATGTTGACCTTGATGATTTTGATGACGTTGGTGATTTTGGTGATGATGATGATTTTGATGGGTTGATCCCTGAGAATATAAATATGAGAATAACTGCAGAGTACTATAATACTTTAAAATATTGCCAAAAAAGCTATGGTAGCACCTCCCTCCATGATCGGTCAAGACTCAATATTGTCAGCTGACCTGCAGGTTAGGTTAACATGATAATTTCAATAATAACCTGGTTTGGACGGATCGTCTAAATTGAGCCCCTCCTCCTCCAACGTCAACCCAGACTTGTCTGACAGGTCATCTCGCTGCTCCACATGCAGTCCTTCAGTGGTTCCTAATGTGGCATCACCCCTGATGACGTCACGTGCTTCATGACGTAGTTCTGGAGCTTCTACCGATTGTGAGCGAGGCCTGTAGTATCACAGATTACGATATCAGCTACACAAATAAATGAGCAACATATAATATTAGCGGTACAAAAGGTGATCTATTAAATAAAAATTTAAATTTTGAGAAGTACGAGTTAAAACATTGCAAATGATTTCGACTCACAAAGTTGAGCAAACCAATTTAGAAAGTTAAAAGAATCATTGCGATAAACTTATCAGGAATCAGGAATATTAATACGATCGGTATTATGAATACCTGATAGGAGTGCTTGTCAACACGTTATCTTCCATTATAGGATGGGTAATGTTTCCCGGCGCCATCTGTATGGTTGGTTATAGGTAAAAACAATATTACAATGACATCTGAAAACATCCAAAGTCCAAACATTCGTTTCCATGATGATTCCGATGCGACATCTCTTAAAAGACCCCCCCCCCCCTCCCCCTCAAGAAGTTTTAAACCGGGAAGAATCAGAATCTATTCTAACCTGGTCTCGAGACGTGTCAGCTCGGCTCTTCAACTCCAGAGTTCTGTACATTCTCTCATAGTGCTGTTGAGCTCGCGTTGCGTGCTGCAGTTCTGCTGTGAGGGCTGCAATCTGACAGAAAAAAATACAGAGGTCATTCAAACGTTCTGTTATGTGTGGTTGTATTGATATAAACAAGGTATATTTAATGGGAAAATGCCAACCTTTCGAATGTTAACAAAAAAGTTGTTGCTGTTAAGTTTATTTTAAAAGTATTATCAAATTGAAAAAAGCCTACCTCGTCATGCCTGGCAGACAGGTTGCAGTTTAAAGCATGCAGCTCACTTTTCTGCATTCGCACTTCTTCATCAAACGTTGCACAACTGTAATATTTGGAACTTTTTTCATTTATGGTAAGGGAGGGGACAATCGGACAATCGGTCATCGGAACGGAATTAAATTGAGAACTAGCGAATCAGAACTATTTTAGATACCACTAATACTTGCGAAAACAAAGTTGATGAAACTTTAAATCTGATATATTATGAGATTATACGTTACCTTGTTTCAAGCTCCCTAGTTCGGTTTCTCCTCTCCGCATAAGTTTGTTCGGCTGTTTTTCTCCAAGTTTCCTCCTTGTTGACATGAAGTTTCAGTAGAGCCGTTTCCTCCTCCAGCACCGCTGATTTGTTGATAAGAGCTGAGTTTTCCTTTTCGTACTGCAGCCTGAGTAAGACCACGAGTTATACTGACTAATAGTTAGACTGACTGACTGACACGTTTACTGAAGATTTGACAAAGCCAGTTTCGACCGACTGACTGGTTCACTGGTTGGCTGGATTTGATTGACAATTAGTTGACTGTAATACTGACATAATATGTCTTTAAACAAAGCTCATACTTATAATTTTTAGCTCGAGCCCTCAGTTTCTGTTTTACCGACTCGAAGTGATCCTTCTCTCTTTCATATTTCTGAAATCATTAAAATTTGTTATCAGTTTAACTGCCTAGAACACAGACCACAGTCAATGATAATAATTTTGGATTGATTTTTTATAATTTGGATCAATATATGAACAAAATCCGAAAATAGTTGAGACATATTAGAAGAACCACATAAGATGGCAAAAAATTGTAAATATATTCTGAAGGTCTATAGAGAAGCAATTAGATGTGTCATAGCCGGGATGATTATGATATAGTAATATACCTGGATCAAATCGGAGTACTTCAACTGTATTGTAGTCTTTGCTTGTTCCAGAGCTAGAACACTTCGGTTCAGCTGAGAAATCTCGATTTCTTGTTCGTGGACCTGTGCGGTAAACGATTAATGACCTTGATGATACTGAACATAAACTTTAAGGTAACTTCTGGAGAAAAATTATGGCCTAGGCTATCTTTTTTATATTTTATTCGCCTCTATTTTAGCAAATAAATTTCCATTTCAGTTGTTTCCTAATATTAATAATATGTTTTCGCTCTTTTGAGTGGGTAGATCATATAACTATTTGTTTGAAAAACTGAGTGGAGACTCTCACTTTTTTCCCAAAACATCTATTATGTTTCCTAATATTATCGTCATTCTACTAGACGGCACGTGCTGCGGACAGACTGCACGTGCTGCGGACAGACTGCACGTGCTGCGGACAGACTGCGCGTGCTGCGGACAGACTGCAGTACCGGTACGTCATCTATCTGATCTTTTCAGCACGCGCTACAGATCAGATCATTCACAACGCCTATTTACCCTATAATAGGAGTACCATTGAATAAATATAACACTGCAATACTACCATCATTACGACACCTCGTACATGCGATATCTGTAGATAGTATGATTGGTGACAAACACAAAAGACTAATTCTTAAAGTTTGTGAATATATTGTTTGGTTAAATTAGAAATTATAAGACTTAATTGTTATGTGAGAAACATCAAAGTATCAAGCCAAAATCGTATTATGATAGTTCGGCGAGAAGTCTTTTCATCGCATGCTTCAGTGACATGAGTGAACGAAGAGTTGACTCATCAATTGATCAATGTCATATAACTTTACTACATATATTGTCTTTCTTGATCCTTTTCGTGTGGCAAAATCGACTGTCAAATACAAAATCTAGATCTAATGAATTTTGATTAAAACAACGTTGAACAAACATATTGCAAAACATGGTGTTGGTAATTTGTTTACTTTCACTTTCTAACACATTCCAATTATAGAAGAATATCTCAATCTGTTTACCTTAGCCTCCGCTGCTTTAGATTTTTCCGTTAGTACTGTCAGAGATTCTGTCTTACGATCCACTTCTTTTTCCAGCCTATCTGAAAACAAGGAGTTTGTATTTTAGATAAATATCATTGGACCGACTTTGAGTGGGACAAAACGAGTGCAAGTACATATAAGCAATAATGAAATCCTGAGGCACAGACATTTTCATCTTCATTTGGAATGTATTCTGCTCATCATTAAACAGTTGAGAATATTGTTATAATTTGTCTCTTTTTGTTTAGGGGTTTTATTTGTTCACATTATGTATACATTAAGTTCCAATTTGGGAAAAAGGAAATGGCCGCGGTAAATCGGAGTATTATTTGTTCACATTATGTATGTTAAGTTCCAATTTGGGAAAAAGAAATTACCGCGGTTAATCGGGTTCGCGGTTTACAAATCAAGGCTTACTGTATACTACATACAGTATTACAGTATTACAGTATTACAGTGACTGTTAAACTTTTATCTCAGGTATGAGATTAACACCACCACCGGGCTGGAAACCACAATGCAGTGATCATATCATAAACAACTTGGTGGAAGCGGTAACATCGCTATCAGGCGGAGAAGATGCCCCAGCTTCCACATTGATATCTGGGAGTTCAACTGCAACGTCCACCTCGTATACTACTGGAATAGCAGGTTTTGATGATCTCGTTCTTTTCAAACCAATGACAGCTCCAGCAGTTCATCCTGTCCTTCCTGTAAAACCAACAGACAATTTCTCAGATAATTCGTCTGTAGCTTCATTGATCATTACTGAAGATAGCTTCTTCAACGATGACACTGCAGATGTCACAATCGCTAATTTGGCGATATCCTTCATTCTGATCGCTATTCTCGGAAACATTTTATCTCTGCTGTACTTCTCCAAGAAAGGAAAACTAACAGTTCCATCCTTTCTTTACATATTGATAGGATCATTTGACATATGTATCTCTATCACCGCAGTTCCTGTCATAGCTTCACTTCTAAACTCGAGAGCTGGAACATGGTTCGAGAATGACATCCTCTGTTTATCTTGGCCTCCGATATTCTACTTTCTGAAAAGAATGTCAATGTTCTTGGTCATGATGATCAGCTTCACCAGGTCCATCGCCATGTCATTACCATTCCTGCATATCCGTATCAAGGACGTGTCAGTAGCAACGTTCATTTATGGTCTTTTCATAGCAATTGGCGACATCGCATTTCTGGCCATTGACGGATTGTTTGAGACAAAATATCGGGATAGAGAATCCAGCTGTGAAATATATAACATTGGATTCGAAGTTGAACCTGCCGCGAAATTCTACTCCATACTTTTCCAACTGGAAATCATCTTTCCTTGCATTATTATCTTTACCAGCTTCATCCTCTGCGTAACATCTTTGGTGAGAGTTAGAACCGAGTTCAAAAGTGAGGAGATGAAAAAATCTAGAACAGTGTCCACCACAATAACATTATTCGCAGGAACATTCCTCTTCTGTAACATTCCAGCCTTTCTGCTCCAGCTTAATTACTTAATTCTCTACCTCAAAGAAGCTGAGGAGGTTAAAGAAACTAGAAGAAGTCCATTCATGGAATGGTATGGTCACCTTCTGTCCCATTTCTTCCTTACTCTTTTTAACGCTGCTGCTAACCCATGCCTCTACATACTGCGGATGCCATTCTTCCGACAGTGGCTCATAATAGTCGTTAAAGACCCAAGATTGCTGCTAATAAAGGTGAGGAAATTGAAAAGATCTGAAGCGTCATCACTATGGCTGTCAACGTCTCCCGCATCATCGAGAAGATCAACCGGGAGGACAAAACAAGCTCCGCCAAAGGCAAAATCATCTCATTTTCAGCTTTCGCCACGGCCTCAACTCAGAGTTGAGTCTACTTTAGTAAAAAACACGAGGGACCGAGCAAGCTCGTGGAGAGCAAGACCATTGTCGGTTGCAGATTAACATTCCAATTAAAATGTTGCATTCTTCTGATGTTGCTGAGAATTTCCAGTTCACAACAGTTTAAATAGAGATTCCTGGAATTTAAACAATTCTTAACAATGCCCCAATAACACAAAGCTATCAGTTACTGCTTTTAAATCAATAATTCAGCATTTTCGAACGCTGGTTTTCTCACTAAAAATATTCATATTGGTGCTTACTTTCTTGCTGAAACAAAAGGCTTTAGCCATTTTCCCACTAATAAGTTTATAACCCTTTTCTGCACTGTGTTGATTTGGAATTTAACTTGTTTTCAATCGAGAGGTATATTATTTAGTCTATGAATTACATGAGGTTTTAGTTATCCCATATGTCCAAAACATGGTTGTCACAAAGTTTGTTCTAATGTCTTATCAAGAAGTAAAATCTGCAATTTCATTTGAATGATACTGTATCCATTGAAAATGCATGTTTGATTTTTAATTGATTAGACCAAATCATTTGGTGAATTTAGCGAAATTATTTTACCAGGCAAGAATTGGGTGTCTGATCAATGGCAACCCAAGATCACAATGTGTAATCCAAACGAAATCGAGTATCGGTATTGTAATCGAGAAGGCAGCATCAAACAACGTCCAGTCCTTACGTGTACACAATATAGTACATACAATGTTTCTCCGCAATCCACATTTTATTGAAAGCTGGTAATCAGTTTCGCACATGATTCACGTACTCTAGTTCGACACGCACTCTAGTTCGACAGAAATCCCCCCTGTCGAACTTCGGTACATGTAAAACATGTAAAACTATAGAGTGCAGGTAGCGCACTTCGACAGTCGAACTTTAGGGTTTATCGAAATACAGTACGTGTCGAACTGGAGAGCGAGTCGAACTATAGAGTACGTGTACCTTCCAGGGACAAAAGGATTTCGCGATTATTTTGGCCAAATTTCGCGGTACCGCGAAATTTAACAGGCTATACATTAAACTATACATAAAATTTGTCGCGGAGAATGGGAAATTTCGCGATTTCGTACATGCCGCGAAATCCTTTTGTCCCTGGTACCTTCACATAATATATAGCTTTTGTTAAAGTTAGACAAGCATAATCATTTAGAAACCCCTCCTTCCCCTCAGTAATTATGTAATATGTGTACTACTCATTATGTACAGTGATGGTGATCATGTATTTAAACAATGTATCTTGAGATGTCCCGCTTGTGACTCGACAAGTTTCGGCTTTTTACGGCCATCCGCAAGGGAGATCACCTCAATAAATGTAATAGATCTTTAGTAATATTGTAATTAGTTTTAATTAGTTAAGATTATGCACTTGTTTGTCTTGGGGCGACTGCTAAGGGGTTGTACTGACTACTGAGTACACATTGTGTACGACCCCTTACTCTTAGTATTTCCTTACCCTTCATTGATTAATTATCATTATAACAATGGCCTGTTAATAAGCTCGAGAAGACGGTAACATCAGGCTTTATTTTGTAACTCTGAAAATATAGCCAGGTTTTCTAAAATGGAAACAATAACTCACACTTCTAGAATATCCAGGACTACTTATTACTTAATCGTTATGCTGCCTGGGTCAGCAATTCCAGGAATGCATTAGCGAAGTTTAGAAGGTATTTGATGAATTTAACTCGAGAACTGTGTATAGTAGATAGGTTAGTTCATGGATTAAGTTGTTGCCTCATTGTAAATACGTTAATTGTTGGTCCTGCGTAAAACTTGATGTAATTGAAATACATTGCTGTAAAGCAAGTAAAATGTATTTGAATTTTGAAATAAAAGACATGAACTGTACTGTCAAATGACCCCTACAGACTACTGTCACAAGACATTGACTGGTTCAGTGGTTCCCTCCCATCAAATATTCATCCAATCAGCTCAGGACTAAATGTGGGGTTACAACATGCAGCTTATATACACCATTTAAACCATTATTCGTATGACTATCAAACAGGTAATTATAAATTATAAATGAATATTTTAACTAAGTGATGACGGGGGCCCCTTCTCATTTCCAAATTCAATAGTGCCCTTTACGTATGTAAATGAGAAATGGTTATGGTTTAGATTAGTCGAGTAATTGAATGACAATTCACAATGCTGACGCACCCTGGGTTGCAAGTTAGGGATGTCTGTGTTCCTGCCTATCAAAGCTATGCTGGATTCTGTTTGCCAGACGTTGCTTGGCCTGGCTTATACTGGGCGGCACTTCACCATATCTGTTTATGATTATGAACACTGACGCCTAAGTTTAGTGGTCCCCTAGGGTAAGGCCTGACACAGCTGCTCGTGTCCCCTCCTAGAAAATAGTAAAGGTCGCAACGTGAGACAAGGTTCTGTGTCATTTCCAGACAGGAGGGTTATTTAGCTTCTTTGTTCCTTCTTTGTGTCTCAATTTGGGCCTTCAAAATAACTAGCTAAAGAACAACTGCAGACTGGAGCAAATTGTTTTTTTCCAGAATGGTTTGTAATTGTATAATTATATAATATATAAAATGCTATTATCAGCATAGATAACTTTTTTTTTTTTTTTTTTTTTTTTTTTTTTTTTTTTTTTTTTTTTTCTTTTTTTTTTTAAATGAGGAACCTGCCAAACCCCAGGACACCAGGAGGATACCACCGGCAAAGCGGCTAATAGTACCCTCCGGTCTGTGTTGTACCGAAGAAGCTGAGTTAATCGATCATGACTCGGCTTACCAGCCAAGAGGCAAAAACTGAGCGGCACCAAGGGTTCAGAGAGTGTCATTTCAGCTTCTCCGGTGCTGGATGCCCTGGGGTTTCACATGCGCCGTAGCAAAATAAATATAAAAACACACGCACACAATTTTTTTTATTCTTTTAGATAATACGTCGAATAAAGTCAGTGGATATAGAGTAATAAATTGCACATAAGATGGAGAGAAAAAGGAGAGATACTACTGGTTTTAAATGTGACTCTATATCAATACTAGTTGTGGAGATAACTCCACTAGCTACAACTTGTGAAATAAAGGGTAAAGGTAAGGCACGGCTGAATTTTCGAGAAAATAAATAAACAAGAGTGTATAGTGGATCCAGAACTTTGGGTATAAGATGGTCATCAAGGTAGCATAGATAACTTTATTAGGTTCTATGTAGCA